AAAAAAAAAAAAAAAAAAAAAAAAAAAAAAAAAAAAAAGGGAAAAAAAAAAAAAAAAAAAAAAAAAAAAAGAAACTAACCAGGAGAAGGAGAAGGGAATTGTATCTCTACTGTTGCTGCAGGTCCTCCTCTATTATTTCTTGCTGCTTATAAATAAATAAATAAATAAATAAATAAATAAATAAATAAATAAATAAATAAATAAAATAAATAAATAAAATAAATTAAATAAATAAAATGAATTAATTAATTATTTAGTTAAACATTTATTTATTTGTTTTCTTATATTATTATTCCTTTTATTTTATTTGTTTACTTATTAATTAATTAAATAATAAATAAATAAATAAATAAATAAACTAAATAAATAAATAAATAAATAAATAAACTAATTAATTAATTAATTAATTAATATATTTATTTATTTATTTATTTATTTATTTATTTCCTTACATTGTATAAATGTTTCCTGTCCTTGCTGTACCTCCATTAATATATTTTTTATTTCTTCTTTTAATTCGCCAATTTTATTTTGTTGATCTTTTATCATTTCTTTTAATTGTTGTACAGTAGGATCTATTTTTATACTAAATAAATAAATAAATAAATAAATAAATAAATAAATAAATAAATAAATAAATAAATAAATAAATATAAATAAATAAATATATATTTATATTTAATTATTTATTAATTATATATATATTAAGGGATTATTTATATTATTTATTTAATTAATAACAAATGAATATTCAGGTGTATAGGGAGCTCTATTTATAATTATTTTTAGTACTCTTTTTATTCTATTTATTTATTTATTTATTTGTTTATTTATTTATTTATATATTCTTTATTTTATTTTATTTTATTCCTTTTTTTAATTAATTTAATTTACCTGTTTTTTTCTTGGGATTGCATAAGAAGACGAGTAGCAAAAGATGGCATAAGAAATAAAAAGAAGAAAAAAAAAGAAAAAAGAAATTTTTTATGCATTTTTTTAGGTAAATAAAATAAATAAATAAATAAAATAATAAATAATATATATATTATTTATTAATACTAATTAATTAAATAAATAAATTAAACAAAAGAAAAAAATAGAGGAAAAAAAGGAGAAGGATATTTATTTCTTGTGCAACTTATATGAATAAGAAAAAGAAGAAAAAGAGAAGGAAATAAAAAGGAAAATAAATAAAATAAAATAAATAAAATAAATAAATTAAAGAAAAAGATTATTTAATTTAATTTAATTTAATTCAATTTAATTTATAATTTATAAATAATGAATAAATAATAATTATAAATATTCATCATTAATTCATGAGCTGCCTATACACCCGAGAAATGCAGCAAAACATGAATAAGAAGAAAAAGAGGGAAAAAAGTGTTTATTTTTTATTTATTTCTTTATAAAAAAGGATAATTAAATATAATAATATATCCTTATTTTATTTTATTTATTATTATTTATATATTTATATACTTTTATACATAAATACTTGTTGTTCTTACGACTAGCAGTCATACAATGCAAGGAACCTAAACCCTAAACCCTAAACCCTAAACCCTAAACCCTAAAATGCTTTGTTTGCATGCAGCTTAGCAACAAATGAGTACCGCATGCATTATTTATTTTTTTATTTAAATAATAAAATATCCGTTTGTTGGTTCTTATTCAAACAAAATATGGTGCTGCTGCTGCTGCTCCTGCTGGTGCAGCAGCGGCAGCAGCAGCAGCAGCTGTTGCTGCTGCAGCATTGCTGCAGCACGCAGCAGCAAATGTTTACTCAACCCTTTTCTCCGGGGTTGACAATACCTTTAGAGCCTGCAGCACCCCACAGCAGCAGCGGCAGCAGCGGCAGCAGCAGCAGCAGCAACAGGAGCAGCAGCAAGTGCAACAGCAGCAGCAGCAGCAGCAGCAGCCATGACAGCTAGCTATCAAGCAATTACAAGACAACGGTAAACCCTAAACCCTCAATATAAATATCCTTAACAAAATCTAAACCCTAAACCCTAAACCCTAAACCCTAAACCCTAACTTACGAAGGTTGCTGCCTCACGAGAGAAGGGCGATGCTTCATCAAAACCCTTAAATGTTAGCAGCATTGGCATTGCTGCAGCGCATGCAACATAAATGCATGCATGCAGCAGTCTTGCTGCAGCAAAAGAGCAGCAGCAGCAGCAGCTGCTGCTGCTGCTGCTGCCTGGACACCATCACAAGCAGCAGCAGCATCAACAGCAACAACAACAACAACAGAAGCAACAAGTGTTGCAGCAGCAACAACACCTGCAGCAGCAGCAACAACAACAAATGCAGCAGCAGCAGCAGCAGCAGCAGACTAACCATTGGCCTGTATAACAGCTTCTTTTGTTGCAGCAGCAGCAGCAGCAAGATTAGCAAGAGAGCGCAGCAAAGGAGCTGTACATACACTCCAACGCAGCAGCTGCCACACTTCCTCATCTCCTTGCTGCGGCTGAGGAAGCTTATGCTGCTGCTGCTGTTGCTGCTGTTGCTGCTGCTGTTGTTGTCGTTGCTGCAGCAGCATTAGCTTCTGCTGCTGCTGCTGCAGCAGCAGCACATCTTGCTTCTTCTCTCTCTCTTTTGCTGCCAGCAAAGAGAGGACGTGCTGCTGCTGATAGAGACGCAGCAGCTGTACCATAGTTAACCCTAGCAGCATTTGCTGCTCTTTTATCTCCTTATCCTCTGCTGCTGTTGCTGCTGCTGCTGCTGCTGCTGCAGGACCTGCTGCTGCTGCTGCTGCTGCTGCTATCTGTACTGCCTCTGCAACATGAGAGAGGAAAGTGATTAGATGTTGCAGCAATTCATTGACGGCTATCCAACTAGGTAGTCCTCTTGATGAACCCGGTCTGCTGCTGCTGCTGCTCCTGCTGCTGCTGCTGCTGCTGCTGTTGCTGCTGCTGCTGTTGCTGCTGCTGCTGCTGACGGGCCGGGGAGTGTTGAGCACTTTGTCCCGCCAACTTTTAATGAGAGAAGAAGGAGAAGGAGAATCAGACACAGAGAAGTGCAGCAAATCAAACTGCTGCTGCTGCAGCAGCTGCTGCTGCTGTTGCTGCTGCTGTTGCTGCTGTTGCTGCTGCTGCTGAGGATGGCCAGGAATAGCAGCCTCTCTTTCTTTCTTTTGTTGTGTTATTTCGCATACAAAACGGAAGAAGCCATCCTTATCTGCTGCTGCTGCTGCTGCTGCTGCTCCTGCTGCTGCTGCTGCTCCTGCTTCTGCTGCTGTGGAAGCTGCTGCTGCTGATGCTGCTGCTGGTGTGGAAGCTGCTGCTGCTGCTGCTGCTTCCTTAAAGTACAGACGCTGCGCCTGCTGCAGTTCATGTATTCCCCTTATTGCTGCCTCCAGCTGCTCCCTAAGAAATTTTAATATAGGGGCAGAGGTACCTACAGCCTGAGCACAAACCCTAAACCCTAAACCCTAAACCCTAAACCCTAAACCCTAAACCCTAAACCCTAAACCCTAGGGACGTGAGCACAGCAGATATGCTAGGCACCAAGGTACAATTAGGGTTTAGGGTTTAGGGTTTAGGGTTTATGCACCATTACAAGTCTGCCAGGGGCCTCGGGTTTGCTGCATTCTTCCTTAAGGAGGGCAGAGGATATACGAAGGAGATAAAGGGGGAGGGGCCCCTTTGCTGCTGCTGCTAGCTTCTGCTGCAGCTGCTGCAGCAGGAAGGAGAAGCGACGTCTTGCTGCTGCTGTCATCTTTTGCTGATTAGGGTTTACAGGGTTTAGCAGTGCAAGAGAGAAAAGCTCAAATACATCTACCGTCATGGCGCTGTATACAACAAACCCTAAACCCTAAACCCTAAACCCTAAACCCTAAACGCTAAACTCTTGCACACCCTAAACCCTAGCAGTTCCTATGTCATGAGAGGAAACCCTAAACCCTAGAACAGGCTAAACCGCAGTAAACCCTAAACCCTAGTATCTCCTTAACCTTACTACCGGACCCTAAACCCTCAACCCTCATAAACCCTAAACCCTAAACCCTAAACCCTAAACCCTCAGAACTTACTGCATTGAGTACTGAAGGAGTTCAAGGAAAGCAACACCTTTACCATGGCATAATAAACTATAACAAAAAAGGGATACCCATTCTCCCATCTCTCCTGGGGGCCCCCCAGAGGGGCCCCCTGAACGGCCCCCAGGGGGGCCCCCTGCTTCTTCTTCCCCTCCTTCCTTTTGGCTCTGTGCCTCTTGTAAGGCCATGAAGAACAAAGCCGCCAGCAGCTGCAGCAGCAACAGCAACAGCAGCAACAGCAGCAACAGCAGCAACAGCAGCAGGAGCAATAGAATAGATACCTCGAGCAACAGCACTAACAGCAGCACCAACGGAATACTCCCCAGCAGCAGCAACAACAGCAGCAACAGTAGCAGCAGCAGCAGCAACAGCAGCAGCAGCAGCAGCAGCAGCAATACCTCAAGAAAGGATTCTTCCGTGAATATGTTTGTTGTATGTTTGTTATAACCAAAGAGAAGATGTAATAAAGAAAAAGAATACTCACAGGATACTGCAGCACAGCAGCAGCAGCAGCAGCAGCAGCAGCAGCAGCAGTAGCATTAGCAGCAGGACCAGCACTAGCAGGAGCAGCAGCAATAGCAGCAGCAGCAGCAGCAGCAGTAATGTATTTTCTTACCAGAGCACAAGGTGAGCTCAAGAAGTCGTAGACGCCCCACAGCTTTCCATATCTGCTGCTGCTGCTGCTGCTGCTGCTCCTGCTGCTGCTGTTGCTGCTGCTGCTGCTGCTGCTGCAGTGCAGCACCGGAGGTGTCAGCAGCAGAAGATGACTGTGCTGCTGCTGCTGCTGCATTGCATAGCAGCTGCAGCAGCGACTTCGGCAGCAGCAGCGCCTCTGCACAGAGGTAAGGAACAGCAAACCAAGGATTCTTGCTTGCTGCTGCTGCTGCTGCTGTTGGTTCGGTTGCTGCTGCTACTGCTGTATCTGCTGCTGCTGCTGCTGCTTCTGCTGCATGCGGTCCGGATAGAAGATCAGAAGCAATGCTGCAAACCTCCACAACCTGCAAAACACACACCAAACCCTAAACCCTAAACCCTAAAGGTTCCTTACACGCTCTGCTGTGGCGTGTGCGCTTGTCAGCAGCTGATGTAAAATTAGGGTTTAGGGTTTAGGGTTTAGGGTTTACATGGGAGTCAGAAAGAAGACGATCTAAATATTTATAATTAATTAGGGTTTGTAAGAAGAGAGGAGAGCAGCAAAAGTTACGCAGCAGACGGACGTATACACTTAATACAGCAGCAGCAGCAACAACAGCAACATCTTTGCTGCTGCTGCTGCTGCTGTTGCTGCTGTTGCTGCTCTCTCTGCTGCTGCTGTTGCTGCTGTTGCTGCTGCAGGAGGTACCCACAGACGTTTCTGCAGCAGCAGCATCTCCGCAGCTGCCACCGTCAGCAGCAGCAGCAGCAGCAGCAACTGCAGCACCTAACTGATTCAGCAGCAGCTGCAGCAGCTGCAGCAGTTGCTGCTGCGACTCCTTATCCGTAGATACGTGTTCTCTCCATGCTGTACTGCAGCAGCTTTGCTGCAGCAGCAGAAACACAAACCCTAAACCCTAAACCCTAAACCCTAAACCCTAAATCATGGGGGTATAGCATACACAGTCGTCAGCCAGCAGCCCCAAACCCCAATTCCCCCAAAACCCTAAACCCTAAACCCTAAACCCTACTTTGACGAAGGCGAGGAGGAGGAGGTATAGTTCTTCCTGGCTGTTGCTGCCTCCAGGGGCCCCCAGGGGCCCCTCTCCCTTGGTTAAGAGGGAGAGAGGGTCCTTTGCTGCATTAACTATATTAAATGTGCTGCTGAGGGGCCCCCTCAGGTGCTGCTGCTGCTGCTGCTTTAAACCCTCAAGGAGGGGCCCCCCTACCTTCCCTATGGAGGGTTTAGGGTTTTGTTGCTCCTCTTTGCTCATCAAGAAGGAAGGAAAAGATAAAAAAAAGGATAAAATTAATTATGTTTAATTAAATTAATTAATTAATTTATTTATTTATTTAATTTAATTAATTAAATTAAATCATTAAACACGAGTAAAGCGTAGAACTCGCAAGCATTCTAAACCCTAAACCCTAAACCCTAAACCCTAAACCCTAAACCCTCTAAATAAACAAATAAATAAATAAACAATTAAATAAATAAAAATAAAATATTTATTTCTTCAATATAGCATAAAATAAAGCAAACGAACAACCCCACAAAGCCTCTCGTACCCTCAGGGGCCCCTCCTCAGGGGGCCCCTCTGGGGGCCCCCATAGGGGCCCCCAGAGGGGGGCCCCCTAAGAGCGCACTTAAGAGGGTTCCTTAAGAGGAGCCCTTAAACGGGAACCCTAAGTGGGGCCCCCATGGGGGGCCCCCAAGGGGGGCCCCTAGTATTTTGTTGCTAATTAGCTGTTGCTATAGGTGTTGCTATTAAGAGGGACTACTGCATGCAGCTAACAGTCTAAGCAGCTAAACCCTAAACCCTAAACCCTAAACCCTAAACACCTATAATGTATGAGAAGGAGGAATAGGGGTATTAACTTCGTAGCACCTAAACCCTAAACCCTAAACCCTTAATAACTAAATACTACGCCATACAAACCCTAAACCCTAAAAACCTCAAGCACCTCAACTGTCAACCCTAAACCCTTGACACCTAAACCCTACACTGTAAACCCTAAACCCTAAACCCTTATCCTTACACGGATAAAATAAAAAAAAAATCTAAACACTTGGATAGAAGTTTCTTGCCAATAAGAGGCCTCTATAAAAAAAAAAAAACTTTGCTGCATGCATGCAGCAAAGAGCAGCACAGCCTACTGCTGCTGCTGCTGCTACATTGCTGCTGCTCCTGCTGCTGCTGCTGCTATATTGCTGCTGCTGCATTGTTGTTGCTGCTGGTGTGTTGCTGCTGCACTATGTTAGTGCAGCAGCAGCAGCAATTTTATGTTTAATGGGTCTTTTTTTTGGGGCTTTTTTTGCATGCAATGCATGCGCTAATCTGAGAGCAACAGCCTCTGATTTACAAATAGAAGAAAAACGTTTGCTGCTGCTGCTGCTGCTGTTGCTGCTGCAGGGGAATAAGGGTGCATGCACCTCCGCTAATTTAGCAGCAAGTCTATCTATTCGTGTCTTCCTTCTCTTGAATCTAACCCCTAATAGTTCTTGTGTCTCTTGTGCTGTATCTGCTGCTGCTCCATCTGCTGTTGCTGCAGCAGCAGCAGCAGCAACAGCAACAGGAGATGCAGCAGCAGCAGCAGCAGCTGCTGCTGCAGCACGTTTACGCTCCTGTAGCTGCTCCCTCATACGCTTATGAGCTGTATAATCATCTGCTTGCTGCTGCTGCTGCTGCAGCAGCGCAGCATTTGCTGCTCTTGTGCTGCTAATATATTCTCTTAGATGTCTCTGTTGGGGTGTCTCCTCAGCAGCAAGTTGCTGCTCCTGCTGCTGCTGCAGCAGCAAACCCCTTTGCTTCCTTAATAAGAATTGATACTCCTTAAGGGCAACAGGATTTGCTGCTAATCTTTGTCTCTCCTCTGGCTGCAGCAGCCTATTATCTGCTGCTGCTGCTGCTGCTGCTGCTGCTGCTGCTGCTGCTGTTGCTGCTGCTGCTGTTGCTGCTGCTGCTGTTGCTGTTTCGTCATAGTCTACCTCATCTCCATGTGCTGCAACTAGTGTTGCTGCTGCTGCAGTAGGAGGAGGAGGTACTGCTGCTGCTGCATGCTGCTGCTGCAGACCCTTAGTACATATATAATTAGCATCCTTAGGATTAGATGTAATAATACATAAATTATAACAATAAGGACAATTAAATAAAAAAGAATAAAAAAAAGAAGAAAAATATTTATTTTTTTCCTCTTTTTTTTTTATTGTATTTATTCTTCTCCCTTTATCTATTATTTCTTCGCAATTTATACATTTTACCCTATAAGGTAATTCAAATCTAATTACTATATTATTATTATTATTATTATTATTATTATTATTTATTTTTTTATTATTTATATTATTATTTATATTATTATTTATATTTATATTATTATTATTATTATTATTATTATTATTATTATTATTTATTTTTTTATTATTTATTTTCTTATTTAAA